CTGGCGAATGTATAATTAAACAAAAGACTTGCCTAAATTGTGATGAATTTCTTCTATAGAACAATACACAACATAGTCAAACATTCTCATCGCAGACGAGTCTTGTCTTCATTTCTTCTCTGTTTCTAGCCGGCGCTCCCCCGGCAACTTTACCCCGAAATCCGGTTCAGTTCAACCGTTAGGTTCAATTTTTTAATCTGCAAGATTAGCAAGAAAAGATGTTATTGTATAACTTAAATAACGTTAAATTATATGAACATAGTTTTCTGTATATGCAAGAACACGGGCGTCATCGGACTTTCGATCCCGACGCATAGTTATAAAGAAATATTACTAGAGAACCCGCGAGATTCGTATACTAATAGATTTGTGTGTAATATTTCCATAATTATCAGCCGCGACACAGCTATTACCATAGTTATGTATGTACGAGTGCGTACACGTTTCTGCAAATTGGTTTGTTTCTACCTTACAAAACAACAACAACACCAATTTGACCGAGACGTGTTAGGTCGAGGGGTAGCGTCGACTTGTCCTCAATTTCGAACGTAATTTCGGTACGCGATCATATCGCACCATAATAAATTATAACGCAGTGCGCAATGATAAGAATATCCGTGCATCAATGCCTGCAGAGGCACCAAATTTCGAAATTGTGACTTGATTTACTAGTTTATTATGATGACACATCGTATCATCATTATCCTGTGAATCTATTTCGTTTTCTGTTAGCGTAAAGCCCAACCCAATGTGCACCTGTTTGATTGTGCTAAATACTAAACGAAACATATCTCCCAGAAGGCAGTATGTTTATTATGTATGTATGTAAGTATGTAATATTAATATGATGTGTAAATCTGCCATCACTGACTTGTCAGATGGCGTTTGCTTAAAATTGGTCGTTTTTATGAGCATTCATATCAGGTCCTTGTTGATTGTAGTTCTAGCAGCATCCCGCAAAATCGGCTGTTACATTTCGGCGAGTTGAGTTCCGCGTACCGATTCTCACTAAAAAAAAAACTCAAGCTTTCAAGGGGTATAACTGTGAAGTTCATGACAAACGACCAGTTATAGCACTTTGGCGTTTCTAAATCGACATTTTAGTGAAAAAAAAAAATCTTCAAAATGAGTTAAATAGTGAGTTTAAATTAGATTTCTAATATTCTTTTTCATATAGGATTCGAGTAATACATTTACGTAGTAATCGGTCAACGCCGGCGCAAGTTAGTTTCATGTGAAACGAGGCCTCGTTGGACTTTCTCTTCCCCAAATCAATACTTGCTGATCTCGAATCCTTTCTCTGAAACAATCCTAATCTTCACTTTATAGTACTAAATGTGACAGGATCAATCACCCAGAATAGTCCCAGTTAGATTTTTCATGTTTTTACAGGAAATCGGCTTCAAGCAGCGGTTATTCCCCCTTGGCAAGTTTAGTAAACTCGGTCTTACTGAATTCTCTCAGTTCTCTCGATTCTCAGTGAATTTGTCCCTTAGCAGTCTTTCAGATCGCATTATTCCAATCCGTATTTAAGAACACGCCTGAACACTCAAATATCAAAAGTACGTAGCTGCTCGCTAATAGCATTATGGATAGGATTATAGCAAAATGTTTACTTAAGCCGTTTTAAGTAAGAAAACACACTCCTTAAGTAGAAAAAATAATCAAATTTTCATAACCCTTTGTTCAGATAGCAATATTAAAATTTTTAGCATAAATATTCTTTGAGGATAAAATTTTTTAACTTAGAGTTAATGAACTCTGATAAGCATACATCGCAAGAAGTCTAACTACGCTAACTCGATATAGTACACACTAGGTTAGGTCGAAAATTCGATCCAAACCTTATTCTTCATGGACAAACTAAAATTATACATCTAATAGATTTATGAAACACCAAAATTACTAGATCCGATTTATTTGAGATCTTGAAATCGACCGAAAGGATCCAAAGGGTGTGCCGTTTGCACTCGTAGACCAAATTTTTCATATCGAGAGCCAATAAACTATATAACAGCAGGTTGATCCTCAACCTCGATTAGCGCCCTGATGCAGTAGACAATGGTGGATACAGACGCATGAACTGATATGCATACGTGCGGTAAACCCTCCAATGCTTTCGTCGTTCCGAAACTATATTACTATTGTTGTTATTAAAAAAATGTAAGTGATTTTATCAAAAAAGAGCAATCACCATACTGCAGATATTATGACCTGCATTTGCATCGTGACATGCGAGACCGGCACTTGCCACAATGTCTTGTACATACTGACACACATGTTTATAATCAGGACAAATATGAATTTAGACCGCTGTCTATACGACCGTCGGTGATATGGCCATGTAGCCATTACTGTGCATGTTTTTCGCCGAGTTTGTATTTATAGATGCATTTTTTTAACAAACAGTATGAGCATTCCGTACACAAATAAATGATGTCAGTTTACAACTAGGGATAAAACTGATGTTATTTTAAACTTCCGTAAGACTTATAAGCTGAGTAGAACGTACACGATATCATGTGGATTACATATATATACATTTTTACAGTGTTCCTATAATATTCCGCATTATACAGGCAAAGAAGCGAACACGCTTAACTATACTACCAATCTGTGGCTTCGCCGCATCGCAAGTCTACTATAGATTTCATATTGTACGTTTAGTGTTAATCAATCGTCAATCTCATTAATAGTTAAAACGTCTATGACTCGTGGTGGGTTTGCCCTTCACATAACACGTATATGTCCCCATCTTCATTTGATAAAAAATAAGGTTGGACGAAAACATCGTGTACAATTCACAAAGGGAAGAGATCATGCGAATATCAATACGTAAAAAGCTACGCAAGCCTTGTAGACTAACGTTAATACCTGTCCTTTGAATAGCTATGCCCTCCATCTTTATTCGGATGTATTTGCTGCTGGAAGCTGCAAACTGTTTCGCTAAAGATCGCCGGCAACGTTTGCCCGAAAGCCGGCCCCTGTGATTTATTGCGGTAGAAAAAAGATGTCGACCTTGGACTCACCGCGCGAGCTGTGGATGATGTTCCTAACACAAAATACATTTGAAATGTATTCGAAGTATCACAAAGTGGATCTTCCTCTCAATTCAATCATTATGTGATGAGGTTCTTCTCGAATAAACGCTGGAAAAACTGCGCTTACAGCGGCAACAAATTTATTAATGGTTAATATATTAATAGGAATCATGACGATATTCAATATAGTCATTTGTAAAATATAATTCAACGAGTTTAGTGAGGGGAAGGAACGTTCAAATTATATATTCTGTGATATCATCTAGCGTACGTCGCTGTATTAATTGGTGGTCAGAAATTCGTAAATGTTAGGCAATTTTAAAAAATATCTATAAAAATGAAAGATTACGAGGGGAAAATTCATAGATCATTGTTAATCTTGGTAATCGATATCGTCAACTTAGTCGTGATCATTTGCCTATTTAAGAGTATTGTTTTTCGTTTTTCTAGAACGTTTTATATAATGCCAGCAGACATTTAGGACACAGCAACAGTGAGGCACAGCTTCCATGCACGCGCCATTATTACCGCCTACCGTAAACAGGTTGCTAAAAATTATGCCTATTAACATTTTGTAAAACCTATACGCTTTGGGCATTAGTGAATGGCTCATATCAGACGTTCCTTGTTCAAAGTAGACGTATTTTCATACGATACGCCCTTTTCAACAGTACTCTATTACATCTAAGTAAAAAATACAGGATTTTTGACCGGATCTCCGAAGTTCATTCTTACATCAGGACAAGGAACTTCCTTCAATTACTGACTAGGCTACCATGGCATTATTGACGAATTCTATAACATTGTATCCGTCAGATGAAAGGGTTGCAATACCGATAGTTTTGAGACGTTTACGAAAATTTCGAACTACAGCTGTACAATAATTATGATTAGAGTGATTATTACATAGTCATTTGTATGCTTGTTAGTCAGTAGATCGATTTTGTTGAAATTAATTCCGGTATATATGAAATCTTGCTTGATATAATCCAAACCGTAGCTCCAGCAGAGATTATTAGGTGCTTCCGGTATTGTTATATGTTTTGATTATTTTAGCTAATGGCTTAGTGTCAATATTATTTAAGCTCATGACAAAATTCATGCGAAAAAACAATAGTTATTTGTAAGGTCATAAGGTTCCGATAAAGTAGAACGGGAACGCCACGATTCGTCCACTATCTTGCTCGTAAATTATTTCTTGTTCTTACCCGAAAAAAGTAAGACAGAAATCTGGTCTTCAAATAAACGGAAATCGGAAGCTGACGGAGGGAAAGATAGGATTTATGTACATGGATGTCTTTGGCAGTAGAGACAAAGTATAGGTACTATTTAAAGAATGCGCGCGCATCCCATAAACCATTTTGAGCTAGATTTATAAATTCGTAACGAATGCGGAGGATGAACCTCTTCTAGCTATTATAGTAACAAAAAAAAACAAGTCTTCGACGTATTTTGTACGGTTTCGTGCACTTTGTCAATAATAAACATTGCAACCATGGTTATATGTCGCCTCTGTTGTCAAAATTTATGGTTCATTGGAAACATTGTTAATTCTAGATGCAGGGAATAGATGAATCAATTCCTCTAACAGTAGAAATCATAACTGTGTTGCTGTGCTGAAAAGGGTATTATTTTACCGTCGTCATTTTTATTGTTTTTATTATTGTAAAAATCCAATTATTCTATTTATTTAATTTCCTTCGTTAAATTTAATTTTTTTTTTAAATTCTTAAGCTTTCTTCATAAACATTTAGCCTGTACATACCGGCCTTGCACCAATAGCCTGAACGTTTATAATAGTTTTAACTATGACATTTTACAATAGCTGTATCAGAAAAATGTTTTTAACTTTTTGTTGAACTTGTTTTTTGTTTGTATCTAATTTTTTGTTCGGATCTTTGGTTTTATTTCTCTATTGTCGCGTGCATTCGTGCCTGTGTATTGACGCGCAATGCATAGAAATCGAACAAACCCTCTTTTCAGTGGAATGCCCTCAGTCAATTGAAACCTACACAACCTCAGCATGTGCAAGGTGCCCAGCATACAATCACTTCATGGAGGTGACGGGTCAAATTCAAGCGGCAGTACGACGAAAAGGGCAAACTCTGACGGGTCGCTCGGTAACGTGCCACCGGCGGAGAACGGAACCCACGTACAGATAAAACAGGTCAAAACGAAAAATGTCAGGTTTCATGAAAAAATGGAGCCAGGAGCGCCATTTCCATCGGATGTGAGTTATTTTAAATTGGGTGGTGTCGTGTAAAAATTGCAATATAATCTGCTGATTTTCTATTCTAGTTAGATCGCATCGTCATTTTTCTAACAGACTAAGAAGTTCATTATACATGATAAAATACGTACACATTAATTCAGCTTAAATTGCTTAACAGTCATAGTACTAACTGTATGTTAGCTGGATCTATAAGAGAGCATGTAAACATGCTGCAGGCTTGTTGTTCGGTCGTAAAAATTTGAAAATGATCAGAAAATGTTTCAGTTATATAAATAAACCTTGCATAATCTATGGGACTTTAAATCAACTTGACTCAAATAGCTAGCATTATTTTCGAAAAAATCGCATAGACGGGCATTCCTCTTGTGTCACTGACAATGAAAAAGACTATCCTGATGATTACCATATTAATATTGCGATCCGTATTGTTTTGCATTTTCACATTCATACCCTGGGGCTTTAAGGGTTGCAAGCTTCTACGAACATAGGTAAATTGGGGTGGTTTAACAACTTTCGTCATTTCAGATGCTATATGGCATCGGCGTCTTCTGTATAAGTCGTTCATATCAATCAAGTATTGTCTATCTAGTATTGTCAACGGTTGGTAACAACCTATGCTCGTCACACCAACAAAAAATTGATTGGTTCATTAACGAGCCGCACATTTTCATCGTCGTCAAACCGAATCGCCCTCTATCGCCTCTTGCGGTACCTCTGCGTTAGCAATTTTCATTGCAAACATTATGTGGACCTATTTCATCCACTCGTCGCTTTATATTTCCGCTATCGTTTTGTTACCTATATAAATAAGCGAACTTTTCTGTGTCTCCTCCTGATAAACCGACAGGGTCCTTAGACAAGGTTAAGCGCTAGAACGACATAGTTAAGGGACAGAACCATCAGTTGTGTTGCTATTTTTACCAAGATACGGAAGGAAGCAGCGCGAGAAATTTTCTGCCTCACTCAGCCTTCATCTTCCCTTTATGCCACTATGGCTTTTATGTCGCATGCGCTGTTGTCACTTGCCAGTGTTCATTGCTCTTTTTTAATGTGCGTCTTTCTGACTAAGCACAGTCTTGCCTGTAACACTACATGTTAATAACAGATTCGACTTCGCACCATTTTTGGCTATAGCAAGCTACAGACCTCTTAGGCTTAAGGGGAAAACTTTTTCTATAGGACGATGGGTCTTCTTCGCACCACGTCAGCTTTCTATTTGCACTCATATAATAGTGGTACTGCAAATGCGAAACGACGAAATACACTGGACAGCTTTTAGCTATTACTCAGTTCATGAACCATGTTGTTTTTCTGTGAGTAGGACTATGGTTAAAAAGACCGTGTCGACATGATTCTTCAGGAAATAACAGTACATTGTAATAACGATGAAAGTGATAACCGTCAACTCCACCCTTCATACTTTACTTCTAAGAAACAAAAAAGAAAGAAAAGGCCTTCTGTATATCGAATTCTGCAGTATTCTTTCCTACGTAGTTCAGCCGACTCCTCTGATTATTGCGGTAATTAGTAAGATACTATGGATGCGTATGATCAGATTTTTCCAAAACAATTATTTAGCCAAATGCCATTGATATATTTGACAAAATATATCGAAAGGACAGCTATAGTTTTGGTTTGTTTCAAGCATATAACCTAGCGTTGTCTTTTAGGAGTGCCTATTATATTGAAATGTTAACATTCTATTAGACTATCAGAATTTAAATTAATTGAAATAAAAAGAGGCGTAATCAGCTATTAGTAATTCTTCATTTGATTGATATTCTAAAGCCACAACAGCGTTCCTTGACAGACCAAAGAAAATCTCTCATGAAAACTAGAAATGTTTGATATATTTTTCTCCAAAACAAAAAATGCTTGCCTCTATTACAACAACTGTATACAACACTCACACGTCAGACGATTTTTAGGGAGCATCAAAATCCTTCAAATACGTTTATTCAGATCCATTTAATTGAACTTCATCAAATGCTTGACACGCAATACTAACACTAGTAGTGTAACATTAAAGGCTTTGATCTACGGTTGTGTCGCACTTCATTATGTGATTACGTACTCCTTCAATAACTTTCTGAATGTATTTTTCTTTGTTGACCGCTTTTATCTGTGGGTCTGGCTGGGTAACTCTCGCGGGTTGGTTCCTTCGGAAACCGGATCGTTGCCTAAATGGCCTGCCATGCATTTGACATACTCATTCCAATTTGCCGCGGCAGGCGATTGCAATGAGCAAGAAAGAGGTGTTGGCGCTGTTGGTCGTGTTCATCATGTTCGTGGTCCTGGGGGGAGCTGTTTTCATGGCCGTCGAAGGACCTCACGAAGTCGAAAGGCGAAAAGAACTCGCAGAACTCAAGAAGAAACTTTTTGGTAGGGTATGAGCCCAAAAATGAACTTCGATTGTTTAAAGAGTTAGCCAAAACAGTGCTTGTTGCAAAATTTTTTCAGCTGTAACTCTTTTTCATTTTATTGCTAAGGTATTGTTCATATTAAAATAATTTAATGTAATTTTGGTCCGCTAAAAGCCCTCATTGCATATCGATTGGCTAATCTATGTGAGCTTACCTTTTTCTATTAACTTTTTTTATACAGACAAACTTAACAAGCTGCATCATCCGGACTTCACTCGAGAAGAGATGGTATCCATGATTCAGAACTTGACAAATGCACGAATGCGCAATCTAATCGATATGACTGGCAAGGAGACGAACGTCAACTGGAACTTCTATAATTCATTCTTTTTCGCTATTACCGTTGTCACCACTATAGGATACGGCCATGTCTCGCCTTCGACCGTTGCAGGAAGACTGTTCTGTGTCGCATACGCGATGCTAGGCGTCCCTCTCACTGGTAGGTGGACAGATCGGAACCGTTATACATAGCGAAGTTCAGCCTGAGCCTGTAAGTCAGACTGACCTGCAAAAAACGCCAAACGTTTCTGTTAATATAATAAAGAGAAAGTATCTGTGAATGATAAGCTCTACATAGAAGACATCGTTATATTTGCGATCTTTGTAGTTTGCTCTTAGTATAACTCTTTATGTTTGACAAAAATTATTCATACGAAATTGTCTTTCGGATTAATTAAAACTGTGTGAATAAAACGCTTTACTTGGGGTATGTGAAATTCACAACAGTCAGAAAATACTGGGTTCTTACGCCATCCTGCTCTATCATCCGTACTTGAACTCTGTTTTGATTTACACTTAACTAAAGGGAAGATCTCTTCGCCTGTAGGGCAAACGACAGAGGAGACCACTCAAATTTAATTCTATATTTTAGCCCAGTTGAATCAGAGAAGCACTGGTTCGAATTACTTGAAACAAGTGTCGATCTTGAGCAGTCTCTCCATTATTTTTTCTATAAATTAAGAAATGTTAGCTTTGTCTAAATTTGATTCAACTTAGCAATCAGATTTTAGCTCAAATCTGATCAAAGTGATGGATATTACGAGAAAATATAAGGTGTCCTGCTTTCGCGTCAGCAAACATCTGCAACAGATTTTCATCCTATGGCGTTATAAAGGAAACGTACATATCAGTTAATATAGAAAATTTACAGTTGTTGGAAGACTAAACCACTAAGAGTTTGGATCTTGTGCGGTCTCTGCACAGCCCACATTGAAACGAAAGTATAAAGACGAGTATTTAAATAATGAAAACATCATTTCGATATGAAGCCTTCCTTTTTAGACTTGGGAATATCTCGAGGTGGAAACTTCTCGTTGCGCTGTGTTATTCGCGTTCCGACTTGAAGTGAGGACGACCCCAAACGAATATTTTCGTCACGATTTGTTTACTGTCAATGGCATAAAACCATTAACAATTTGAAGAAGTCAAGACCATAATATCGGCGAAGTCTTCAAACGTAAAGGTGTTACGTCATTATGAATGACAGAGGTAGTTCGAAACGAGGTCAAACGATAACGTAGAACCAAACTCTTTATTTTTTTATCTCACACTGGTGTTTTTAAGCTGGATTTTTCGCAAGTCGTTCAATTTCCGCCATGAAAAGGTTCGTGTATCTAAAATAATTCATGAAACGATGACAGGTATGAAACTTTGTCGAGAGAAGTTAACTTTTAACTAAAGTTCGACTGTTGTATAGTAAACAGTTTACTAGTGTCGAAGTGAATATTATGACTCTTTGAAATATTTATAAGTAAAACATGCCCTAGACATGTAACTAAATGAGTAGTGAAACTATGACCGGACTGGGTAGTACGCCCACCCAGTTTGTTGAGACTAACGATTGAGTTTCTGCGATGAAACAAGTGCTTCACAAAGCCGCTAATGACCGTCTTATCGAAAATTAAATAGATTTCTCTGTTTATCTAAATCGATTTCTTTTCAGGCATCCTGCTCGCTGCCATTGGTGATCATTTTAGCAAACATCTTGTTAAGAGAATAAATGCTGCCCGAAGGGTATGTTCAAGTCTATATTTTTAGAAGAAATCGCAGAAAATCTTTAATCGTTTGAGAGCGTGATGAATATAAATTGAGCTCGAACAATATAGTTTTTGGTGCAGAAATACCAAAAAGCTTATGCAAGCTCTCATCACTTTGTTTATATCTTTAGAACTATTTTTTTTTGGTTAGGCTGTTTCCGAGTGACCAATGTGAGTGAAAGAAAAGAATCAGTTGCTCATTATGCAGTGATTATTACAAATAGCTTAAAATGGTATTCGTCTGAAGTAGGTTTTGTTCGTCTATGAATTACAAAAAGTGAAATGGTTTCATTTCATCAGGGTGCCGACCATTAGTGGTTTTGCGCTAACTTCTCGGGATAGGAACACGGCAGAGTCAAGAAGGGCTTGCCAGCTGCTGCCTATCCGAAAATAGAAATTCAATCCTTAACTTAGCATTTACTTTACAACTGTAGAGGGTCACCTAGTGTTGCATTCAGTTGCAGTGTCCTACATTGTAATAATAAAATGACTTCGACTACAGGCTTTTCAGGACGGTGTGTGTCACTAGTCTGAACTGATCTTATAAAGTGTGCTAGCTCATTCAGTAGAAGACATTTTCATTTAGATACCGTTTTACTATGCTTCCAATTGGACGGCTAGACGTAACCACTTCTGCAAACGTAATCATTTGTGCAATAGGTTATACTACAATAGTATCCTCGTCTTCGAAGTAATTCATTGTCACTTTCGCTGTTCTCACTTCGATTACCGTCCGCGCAGGTGTATACATCGAAGATAGCGCTAGCTGTGAACGCGGCGACGTTTCTCGTGCCATGGTTAATCGTCTTCCTAATCTTACCCGCCGGATTGTTCATGTACATCGAAGAATGGACCTACCTCGAGGCTCTATACTATTGCTTTATCTCACTCGCTACTATCGGCTTTGGGGATTACGTTGCTGGTACGAATAATATACATTTTGAAATCCTTTCTTTTATTTTGGCCTCCCATTAGAACTTGTCGTTCTCAATCTGAGTGCATTGTCTTGAAGACAAGCGCTCGTATCGATTGCTGCGTTGCGTGAAACGACCAACGAGAATAATTAACTGAGAATAAAGAAGAAATTAGTCAGCAAAACGCTCTTACAGTCACGCCCATTGCTATGCTAGGTTATAGTACAACCGCCTTAGGAGAGAGCAGCCACTTAAGTCGGCAGACGAAATATCGCTAGGTGATTATACTATTACTGTGAGGTATTCAGGGGTAACAGCAGCAGCGCATAGAGATGGCGATGTAAGATACATATGTGAGATATCCATAAAAGCCAATTGTAATGTAGAACCCCGTAAACCATAACTTCAGGTAATTTCGAAGGTGACTATATATGGATATATAAGGCAGCCGTTGTCTTGTGGATTATCTTTGGCCTGGGTTACCTCGCGATGATTCTCAACTACATCAGTAGAGCAATGCGTTCAAAAAAGGTAGGGTACCAAAAGGTAAAAATGAAGTCTGCAACAATGGAATACGTTGGTATGAGCATTGATCTTCCATAAAAACGCTAATGACAGTTACCTTCTAGGTACACAACCTCAACAGTAGGAAGTATACATAAAGTTTTGTATTATTTAGTTCTTGTACCTTGATCAGTGCTTTTAATCGGCCAGTTAATCTATTCAGGTGCGTCGGATAGAGCATCGGCTCTCCTCAAGCTTCCAAAGTACCCAGCAGAAGCTCGGAGCCCGGCTGGATGAGATGCAAAAAATTCTACAGGAGTTTGCCGTTAAACAGCGCAAAACTCGCCCGTCACCGAAGAAGAGCCGCTCCTTCGGTACGTAGCGTTACTGCTCACGATTCCGTTCACGAAAGCTGCGTAGAGCTTTTTGACTCTTAATTTCAGCCTAACGTCGAGGTAAATTAAGATTCCTGAAGAGTTCAAACCCGCACAATAGTATATTTATATTCCAGTCACAAACATTAAGGATCGATGAATTTCACAACATCTTTTTATGATTCCGACAATATGTAGGTTAGTATCCGCGTATGGTGTGGAGGTGACCCGGAAAGCAATGTGGGGACTCGAGATTCGACAACTATCGTTAACAAATATCTATACAGTATTGTGTGTCTAAATCAATTCAATTTTGCATAGATCGAGTACATATCTTCGTTCATCGTTTTCAATAGGTAACATGGTGGAGGAATCCGAACGCGAGGGGGGCTGCGGTACTTACAAGGCAGTTCTGAGCGGTCGGCCGGGCTCACGAGTGACAATCGTTGAGCATCCCAACTCCGAAAGAAGCGAGAGCGGCGACATAGAGCGATTGCTTACGCTCGTCGAAGTGCTCAAGGAGGAATCGTCCCAGAATCTCTTCCGTACTAAGCAGCTGCTCGAGGATACCGAACGGGATTTGCTGTCGTTTTGCCGGGAGGATTCGGCAAGCTCAGCGGGTGGCATCGCGCTCAGCCACATTCCAAGTGAGCTCTCCCTTTTGGCTTTGTTCACTTCGTTCTTTGTATGGAGGTCTTGTTATTTCATGGACCATTGCACTACACTTCCGTTGCGCAAAGCGCAGTGCAGTCGGAGGTCAGACTAGTTCCGACAAGTGACAAATGACCGAGCTACGGTTTTCACTTTTCCGTTCTGTGGCCTGCGTTATGACCTAAGTCAAATTGTACTTTAAACGTAATTGAAAGCATCTGCCATCACGATACGCCCATGACGCATGTGTACATATATATTTATATAACAATGTACACTAATATCCAGTAAGTGCTTCTGTTTTATCTAGGAACTTCCCTCAATGTCAGACTGTTCTCAAGAATTTCCTTTGATTTTCGGTTTCGCTCTGTATGTCTCTCTGTGTGATCATCTGTTGTTCATCGACAGGCACCACTAACAGGCGACACTCACTGCCGGTCCTGCTTACACCATCTCCGCCCACATCGGGCGATTCGCTTAGCGGCGACGTAGGCCCATCCGTAGGCGCAGGCGCGATCGGCTCGAGCACCGGAAACACTAACCTGATGTCGCCCCGTGCAGAGTTTGCCTCCTCGCCCGGGAACGCCTCGCTACTCGGCCGCTCGTTCCAGTCGTTCCTGTACCGTAAGAGACCAGACATCCTCGACTTAGAATCGGGTGGTGGCCAAAAGAACAACAGCAATGCGAGCCATAGGATGGCCAGCAACAGGGGCAATAGCCATCACTCAGATGGAAGTGCGGTTGGGTCGTGTGGGCCGGCGCCCAGACATCGGGACAGCAACCTAAACCGATTCGACCGCGTGAATGGGTTTGACCAGCTTGACGAGCTAGGTGCACTCGATGCCGATTTGGAGAGCAGTCGCATGTAGGGCGACGGCGGCAACTTCGGGCCAGACCTCGACGATGCCGCCAGCCCCACGGATGGAGGCTCGCCTCTGTCGATGATCGAGTTGCCTTCTGCAGGCCTTCGGCTATTCACGCCAACGAGACCGGTACCAAGGTGCCCGCCAGTACTGGACCAAAGGGCGACCCGATCCCGATCAAGATCACCAGTACAACGACCGCCGCGTACCACAGCAGCTGCTTGCACAGTTCGGAGGGTCCGCTCACTTCAACGGCCGACACCATCTCCGACAAGCCTGCTTTTTCAAGAAGCTGGTGCTATGGGTGGTGCAGTATCATACGCCTCCCATTCACAACGCGCGCGTCGCTCGCTGGCCACCGAATTTCTTAGTATGGCGACACTGCTTCCGCCTGAGAGCGAAGTGTAGACCCAACGAAAAGGAAGTGACGAATAGTGACTATGATTAGCTTAGATCATTTTTGTGTTAATCCTCAATTCCATGAATTGAAGCTTGAGGCAGAGAAAACGCGACAACCCAAAACAACAACATCAGACAGGCAGAATACCGTACGAGAAGGAATCGAGGCAGAACTGCTCACTATGACGACAGGATCCTCGAGACGATGCGTGATTGGATTAGTCACAAGCACAACGTAAATATAGTCTAATGCACTACAATTCAATGGTAACAACAGCAGCAAAATCCAATGGAATAATGCATGATAACATACTGGTTGTGTACAATACATAGGAAAACAAGCTGTAAACAGAAATTCAAAAAGATACAGTAATGAAACGAGGTATATATTTATAAGAAAAACCAAACATGAATCATAAACAGGCACCAATACCCTGTATCATCTACAAATATGACGTTACGTGGGGCTCATGGGACTGCTCATCAAATAAGCGCTTGCTAGAATGGCTATTGATAGCATACAGATCCAAAGACATTAAGTCAGCCATCGACCGATAGCGTCGATGGGAAAAGAAGCCGACGCTACGCAATTTCGTGGTTCAATACAAAGAGAAGTAGCGCCTGATACGGCACGCGCCTGAATTTTTCAATCAGACTGTGTTTTCAAGATGAATCGAGTGCTAGGTTATTGCGCCTCAGTGTTGGCAGGGGCTCGTCGTTTCACATAGATGAGTTCTTGTCGACAACACTCTCGGCGAAAGATCACCCTGAAAAAAAGCCAAACCTTTCACAATTAGTTTGCTGAGTTGATACAAGTCTATACGCAACGGCTGTCGTATTAAAAGACCACTCTGTAAACGGAGTTTTCTTCGATATCATTACGTACGTTAGATTCTTCATATTCGTATATTGTGGCAGGTACTAGCGGCGCAGATACGTTTGTCACACATTGACTGGGGCGGCTTGGCTAGATTTGAATACTCTACATCGTCTGTTCGAAACGAAATTTACCTTTGCAGTCCGTGCAGATATATACCTATAATCAATAATAATAATGATATAAGAATACCTCCGTAAAATTGAATGTCTGATGTTGCACAGATATTAGCGGTGTGGCTGAGAATGTCACCGAGACACTGGACTGCTGTCTGATTCATTGTGAAGTTTATTTTTTCAGCCTGATTAACATCTTCTCACTAAATGTGTTACTTTACTGACTACGTTTGTCTACATTAAACCTTACATCCGGAACCCTAGGTAGAACACAAAATTCGGTTGGGTTGTCCTTTACGGCCAACAGAGAATTTCTTAGATACCAAATATTCAATTCAGCTTTCAGAATTGTTGGCAAAAACCTTGTCACAGGCTGAATCCATTAGCTAACTCTTTTAAGGTTCGAAACAATGCCCTAGTCACTCTGATTTTGGACGGCTTATGTGACCTATACAGCGGCTGGTGCTCAAGATATTTTTTACGCTGCATTACCACCTCGCAGGAGTCTATCCATAACCTATTGCGATCGATCTGCGCTCACGACTGAACTCAGTGACTTTGTAATTCTTCCTAGTGGCACGTTAACTCTTGAGCACCTCAAGTACCCTTCGTTAAGTGTGCTCATGTGAGGCGCAATGCAAGTTATATACTGACCAGAGCAAAATTGTATGAAAAGTTTCCTCAACTAGTACATAAACAAAACAAACATTTTGGTTCGATTTCGTGGAGCTGATTTTTTCGGCGTAACTGCGAGGAAAACCAGTTAAAAAAACGTTATCCTGATAAGTCTCATCAGTGCCAGCGAATGCAATGTACATAGGACACCTAATGCAAAGCATATATTTTATTTTTTAGAATGCGTCTACCAACGCACAGAACAAAGGCAACAATTAAGTAGGAATATAAAGAACAACATCAGTAGAAGCTTCCATACTCAACACGAATAACGACGATAGCTAAAAGAAGGACTGTAGTGGCCGTTGAACGAAGTCGTAAACAAATACCTATACAGTTAACGTTTTCTTACCGATAACAACAACACTAGCAACTGATTCGCATATGAAGGTTTAAAAAAAAAGAGCCCATGAGGCAGGCTTCTGTCAAATAGAGGACAGAATATATATTGTAGGCATCATTGTTAATACGATGAATTCTGATGCCTCACCATGGAACGACAATTAAATTTTATTTTTTCTTTGACAATATCAAGTCTCAATTTTTTTAATGAAGAGTTCATAACAATTTAAGCAACCAGTATCGGATATCTATCAGAGAAAACACTATGATGAGTTATAAATTCGTAGCATAAAGGCCAAAGTGAACATTGTGAGGGTCTACAGAAAGCATCGATTATACACATACGACATTATAGGATTTTGAGGAAAATTCAAATCAGAAAACCCCATTTTTTGCTTTCTGTCCAATTTCCAATTTATACTTTCTAGTCAGTCAGCCGCAAGAGAAACGTGTTTCGTGGCCATTGAAAACAAAACGAATTTATAACACACATTCATTTACACCACTTTACCGACTTGCACCGATGAATCCCTAAAATACTCACTTGAGCCTCGTATTGGAGCAGAAACGATTTACTGACTGACTGACTGACTGATTGCAAAACTTTATTTAAAAACTCCAATACGAACGAACGGCCGGCCCGCCGGCCGGCAGTCGATGATAGTCAATAAAACAAGTTTTAGCCGTCGTCTGCTTAAGGAGATAACTGGCACCGGAACATACAGCTCTGTGAAAACATCATGATACATCAACACGCGAATCACCATACATAGCAACAAATAAAAACAACGAGAACAAGCTAACTGAAACTACATGATAAGCAATAAGATAAGAGCGCACGCAGCGAGAAAAGTACTACCAATGCGGAAAAGAAAAGGACCGAAGATATAATGACGGTCCTTCACAAAGTTTATCGAAATCGATCCAAGCGAGAATAGTGCTACCATTGAAATACGCTAAACGGAGTAAAGTGAGAAAAATATCTATTCAAGTATAATTAGTACACCTGTAGTGTCACCTTAAAAAGTTCATAGGTAGATGAATGCCTCGAAAAGATCATTGCTATGTTCAACTGGCTCAGCGCATTCTAATTAAAATAAGCCAATGGGCTATTGAATGCGGCAAAATTTTCAGATTTAACATTCGAATAAAGGGTTACTGCTACCAGTTATTTTTAATAGGGCTGTACACGACAAACGCAAAATCGTCAAAAATCAGAAGACAAAAATTAAAAAAAAACCTTTAGATATTACATTTTAACTTACAGTAGGATCATGCAGGCGAACGTCAAGAAATTCAACAATTAGCATTCTAAACGGGGCGTATTTGTGTGGTAAAAACGAAAAACAAAAAACTTAGAAAACATCGAGAGCACGTAATTATATTTATTTACCTTTTAGAAAACAAAATACCGCCAGTACATAACACATGCCATTTCTTACATGGTAAAACCGTACATAGCTAACTGTGAAAGTGAATTAATATGGTAGTCAGAAGTTACCATGATATGCAACTTCAGTTAAATAATTACGATCATGCCGATTGCAACTAAACTACTAGATCTATCTATCTGTTTATCTACCTATATTTCTGTCCGTAAGGAAGATCACCAGGGCATCGAGACAGGACACAAGCGAGGTGGGATCGACAAATGAAACATCACCAATGAATAAACTAATCCATATGGATGTTAGTTACCGTGGTGACAACAAAAGCACGACACTAATAACAGTACATGGGAAACTCGTTGAAAATGGTCCCATTATATGTAGTAAGCTCCACGGCAACTGGCTGTCAAGAACGAACAGCTCACGCGAGCCAACCGTTTATAACCCTGATATTCATATAAATGTGTATGTAATTTGTAACAGGAAGATCTAATATAACAAAACGAGATGGAAATATTCAACGTAAATGATGAGATGACGCTAACGATAGGAAGCACAAGATAACCTTTGCATTATAATCACTATTAATATTACTACTATCTTTTATTAGGGTTGCTATTACCACTTACTAACAACGATGCTAAGATACTAACGAAAACAACCGATCACAAGATGAAAGGACGATAACAAAAATGACGATTCAATATAATGAGAAATTACTGGTGTTAATTTATTTTATCGACATCGAGAAGAGAGAATAATGAATATGTAATTATAATAACTGAGAATTACTATAGACATAGTGATCTTCTTATACATATATATATAATGCTTTAGTGCGTATATATACGCATTAAAGCATTATAGATTATGACAACAGTGGCAGTAGAGCGATTACGAGAAAAAGGGCGCGTGCAAAGGTAAGGAAGTGATGAAGCTCAATAAAACCTATTTCCATTGAAAGTCAGTTGGTGTTTTGATTTGACTATTTAGTGGTAATATATTTTAACAATTTCATAGGGCTCTCAGCCGGTGCTAAAATGACTACCACTAGGACCGAGTTTATGTAGGGAAGGTCGATGGTCAAATAGTTCATTATCCGAATAGCGAAAGCTTCATTGATGCAACGATTCCTACGTGCCTTGTATTCTTTTCATTTGAGTGCTACGTATCCTAGTGCATGACGTAAGTGTGGGCGTGCTAGGTCCTATTTCAATACTACATATTCTATGACCTCTGAACCCATTCCACAGCTAACGTAATGTGCCTGAAGATTAAATTCACAGTGAGAACACAGTTTTCCACGATGTAGACATACTGCTGCACAGTATTACACATTAAATATTAATAATGACACAAACAAATTTTAACATCATACATATATACAAGTAACCTTGGTAATTAACAAAACTTTGGTAGTCGCATGTTTACTAGACTAAAAAGCTTGAGTTGAAAGCTCGGGAAAACAAACAGTCCGCACCAAGAGTTAAACAACGAGCACCCGGCTTCGCTGCCAATGCTTTCATAATGGAAACCCAATTTCTTTTTCCATATCCTTCTTTAATAGAACCAGATTTGTTCATATGTATAATTTTGGGCTGTGTTAAATAAATGAATAGTAATTGTCCTTTAAGTTCGATGATGCTTTGTTTAATGTTGGCTAGCTATTAAAGATGTCTGTCGTTTAGGGTTTTAGTTTCCGGATAGTCCTGATTCGGTAGCAACTTTAGCTTATTATACCAGAAGATACAATTTTACCTTAATCTTCCTGTTTTTCAAACGTCTTCCATTTCACTTCAATTCTTCAGCCAGAATTCCTGATTCTACAGGGTATTCAGACGTCGCTAAAATCCACCGTCCTGGCGACATTCGGTTCCTTCTAAAGAGTCCTGTTACCCCCTTGATAAGCTGAAGTTAGTACTCCATGAGGCTCCTAGTTGTATTTTAATTTGAATTAAGGCTTCTATATCTCATAAATTAGGTCCACCAAGACTGAGTAATAAATAGTTGTCCAACTAATCTAAAACTTGTCTTCTTCATGAGTTGTTCTTATTTAAATGTATATTCTTACTTAAGATATATTCGGTTTCCTGTGCTTGCCCTAATCCTTTTGAATTTGTTATTAAACGCATGTTGAACAACTGCTCTGTTTTTAAAAGAAGTATACCAGCGTAATTAAAATCGGCCCCACTGAGGCACTTCTGTTAGGAATGCCAACAGGTTGTTGCGTGTTTGCTTCGATAGATTAACCCAATAAACGAGTTCAACCATTGTTTTTCTTAACCTAGTATGTTAAGTGGAAAGATATTTTTCTAATGTCGTGGTGAAGCCGACTAATGAGAGAAACACTATCAGCTTCTGTTTTTTTCATACGACACAATTTCTTCAACTGCCTATACTTATTCTTAGTTATGGGACACACAGTGCCACTACCCGCAGCGTCGGTGGTTCAGTGGTAGAATACTCGCCTGCCACGCGGGTGGCCCGGGTTCGATTCCCGGCCGACGCAAGAGTGTAGTTTTATCTGGTCTCACATTTCTTGTGGTCATTTTTACTGTGATGGTCGCCTCTGTGACGCAACAGGTTAGCGCGTGCGGCTCTTAAAGTAGAGGCCTGTGGCTCGCGGGATGCTCGTATCTCTAAAACCAATATGCCGCACAGCCGCAGAAAAAATCCTGAGCTGCTAACTGTGAGCGAAATCGACTATACCTCAATACATTGCGTTCCACAGTAGAACTTAAAATTTGACTGCTGTAAAAATATGTCTTGAACTTTGCATCGAGCACCCGCCTGCCTAATTCCTTTGTGCAAGACCTAGGTACCAACCCATTACAGTTTTACTATTATTACGTCATCTTAGTATCGTACTTTTATATCATTTGAACAGCTAACGATTTTTGTTCGAATCCATTCACACTGCTTGTAATCATCTTTTTTTTGTTTCAGTTCAGTCTGATATACGTTGTTTTTACCGCATCTAAGTGGTAAGACAAATCCCATCAATTTATACTTTTTCTATTAGTCAGAACCTTCGACCAAACGATTACATACATAACTACTTCTAGCAACATACTACACAACTCCTTTCTCTGCGAATCGCTTGTCTATTCCATAAAAGCGGCCAGACATGATACTTCTTATATTACACTTCAGCTGATACTGTTTCAATACATAATAACAACAGCCACAACTACGTATACAATAGTATGTAACCTACAGATAGATGATTCAAGCGTAGTTGGATGTCATAAGTTCCATCTGTCTTCAATATTTAATCTGCGTTGTCCATTAGTACGGACCGGTGACGACGGTAAAGCAGACGACGCAATTTTAGTTAACGGGACCCCATGTGCTCATGCTTCCATTCTCCCAGCTGGCACTTTCGAGTTACGAGCCGCCAAAGGGGAAAGAAGGCTTGTTGTGATTGCGCTGTCGATCATATGTTCTGGTCAGAGCGGCTCGGAACCAGCTCTGCTACGGGTACTCAGTGCCTGCAGTCCACTACCTGCCTATTCGTTTTCTGCCATAGTTACGGCTGATGTGTCTGCTGCGCCTTGTTGTAAATGTACCCCATCCTAGCTGTTGTGGGCGATGTTCAATTTTAATTCGAAACAAAGCAGTCGCAGAAGCAGGTAAAAGTGCATTCGTTACGAAGTCCGCCGCTAAACTGGCCAGAATCATTTTCTGCTGCTGACAAGAAAAGCTTCAGGTGTAATAGCAATTCGACCAGACTGATGAGCGGATGCACCATCATAGAATTGGTTACAACAATGGTTGTAGCAACATTACACCGTACAAACAATGCTGAGGTGTGATCGAGTATTGGCGGCTATTCAGAAACGGATCGATTCGATTTTTCGAAGGAAGATGTATACCCTGTGGATAGAACAGTGAAACAAAAATCACTGCAGCACTGCCGTTCATACAATTGGTCGAAAACAAAGCGCTGACGAGCAAGTAAGAAACCTTCAAGCAATAAAGAAGTAGGCTTTCTATTTTGCCCATGTATCTAGACCTTAGTAATTAATAAGAAATTTTGTTGATTTACTCTCACGCGTGCCGTTTGAATTGTTTGTTTCTATCGGGTAAGTCAAACTGGCCGTTGACTGAAAGCGGAACATCCCGAATGTAGGCAGTGAAATAGATGTTTGTGTGCGCCCCAATATTAGTTGGAGTTTAGACATGGAGAATAGGAACGTAACTTAATTACTAGAGAGTGACACCCCCACGTGGCATTGGATTAGGCATCTGATTTAACTTGTATATAACTTGGTTACTTGATTACTTATGGTACTGCACACACGATAAATATGGACAGAGCTAACATTCTGTAATCGACAAAAAGGAAAAACGTCAATACTGAGCCTTGTGTCAGCGAGAAACCTCATACGAAAAACTGCCAAATGCGTACTGTTGATCTGCACAGAAAATCTAGTATCGGTACAGTATTATTTTGTAATATATATATATTTATTCTGTTTGTTGTTTGTTTTGTGCTTATGCTTAGTGTTAAGATCAAATAACGAAGTTTTGAACATGTCTGCTTTCATTTAAACCACGGGTTAATCGTTAAAGTACCTCTAGACTTCAAAAGTCGCATATTGTGTTGTATTATTATTATCTCCACTCTAAATAAAAGAAGAACATCAACGATTTCAAATATACTAATCGAGCCTCACTGCTTAAGAACTTCTAGGTTCCGTGCTAGCACGATATGCTTGATAACATTGATTCCGGCTGCTCACGTCAACACTCACTGTCATCCCAAATACTCAGTGAATCGTTCCGATATGTGTGACAACTTAAACTGACAAGTTCAAGTCAGCTCAGCACAGTTCTTAAAAAACTTCTGTCCTACATGAAGCATAAGCTTCTTGCTTACATAGCTACTATCGCCAGTTTGTATCGTAGTTTTGTTTATATAATCCAATGTTTTCCATAGGGCTTAGTTGGATGACTTAAAAGATCTATGCCAGATCTATGAGAACTTTTTTGGTATCCGTCGTTTTCTGTATAGGGAATCAAAATATGGGATGGTTGGCGCCAGACTCCCCGGTGCCAGAAGGCCCATGCTTTACTTTGCTGGCACGTACGAACGATCTCGGCTGCGTTAATGATGTTCGACTTCGTTTAGACTTGGGTAAGTAAATGGATTTATACCCAGTTAGACAAGCGACATATAACCTGAATGATTTTTTCACGTAAAATTATCTGATCTATGAAAAATTTACGACGGACATTCGGAAACAAAAACGGATGCTTCTAAACTTGAACGAAGTTGACGCAAGTAAGTATAAATGCAGCAGAACCAATCGAACGTTGACTTTTTACGGTAGCCGTTGTATTGAGCCATTCGACCCATGTGGAATGTCAATGGTTTATTTACAATGGGTGCGAACTCGACGAAAATGTAGCTGCAGAGAAAAACAGCAAAGGTGAAAACTCGATGTGCCTTTGTTACTGCTTCAACAGTACCGTTCCAGGCTGCAAAACTAGCCAGTGCCTAATCGTGAGTTTTAGGTGTACAGCTTAACGTCATTATTATATTGAGAATAATTTCGTCACTGTGGATACTTCGTCGAACAAACTGGTTGACAGAAACGAACACACGCTCATCATAAGCAACATTTTTCGCCTCTCTCTATTTTTCTCTAGACTGTAGAAGAAGTAGATTTTTTAAACACTTTCGAACTTTAGCAACTCCATCTATGTGTTCAATTTCCAATTCAGCATTTAAAAAAATAGTATACATTCTATCTATGCAAGTTTGGCTGTAAGAATGTGAGGCTAGGTTTCTGAAATTACTGTGGGATCGGGCTTTTTTATTATTACTATATTATAACCACTATTGGATGAGTTTATGTCACCATAAGCTCATGTTTAGCACGAATTTTCTATTTACATTTTAGAAAAGGGTGATATCGCCACAAAAATTCGAGCACTGGAAACGCTTGTTCGGCTTTGTGTGCTCGAGCCTACGCGTCTGTCCAGTGCTGCCGGTCGACCGACCTTAATGGCTGTAATTCGTTTTCTACTTCCACTACAAGACCATTCCATAAAGCGTATGCTTCTTCTCTTCTGGGAGGTAATTCTATAACTTGAGTTTATAGAGAACGAGGGCTTATAGGGCACACGAAAATCGAAATTATAGTAAAAAAATATAGCGTAATCAGAGGTACTGGTTTACTTCGATTAGAAGCAAACATAATATAGATATACCGCCCTAGATATATTTTGAAATTTCAAAATGGCCATACTTAATTAATTTAGACAGCCTAAAAGTAAATAATAGAAAGTCTGATGTTGTGTTACGTTGCCTCATGCTTGAAAGAACAAATGTTGTTTATCGAGTTAGGTACGCCCATGTTCAGGATATTGCGCACAAGGTATTTATATATAGAATATGCATATTGTTTTGCCGTAAGATGAACGTGTTTCAACGCTTACTTGTTTGTATTATCCGTGATCAGGTTGTACCGAAGACAGACGGCAAGGGAGAGCTCCTGCAGGAAATGATCCTTGTCTGCGATTCCTTTCGCCGGGTATGTTTTTTCAGAATAAGAGGGTTTCAAAATCAAAAAGTTCAAAATGACCAAACAGTAGCTCTATAAGACCTCTGCAGGCTCACACTCACTAATCGATGTTTAAAACATATGAAGATCATTTGACTGCGGCTATAGCGTGGCTAATAGGACATCGAACGCCCATAGCTATAAGATTCAAGGATTCGATCCTTAGCTAAGTCTCAATCACATCTTGAATTTGGTTCTTAATATTAGCTCACCTTGCAATTATATTCTGTCACTTACAGTATGGGTAAATACCGCCACAGTTTTCACCTATCATATATTTTAAATGGTCTCTACTTCGCGTGCTACAGGTGACGCCTCTAACGTGCAAATAGCGATGAAGCGTTAACGTGCTTTCAGAAAAGTCTTCAAAAAACATTATTATTATGTTAATATGCATTTTTCCAAACTGATAGGCACTTCAATAGGCAATTTCTATCGTAGGATTATCGTATATATGCAATACTATATACGCATACATCGAATTAAGCAGTAGATAAATCGAGACGTAGCAATATGTAGGTACTTGTTGCATAATCGTATCGACTATCAGTATCCTGGTATTGCCGTTGTAGTGCTGCCTTCCTACATTAATATCTTTTATGGGTACAGGACCTAGAGCATCCTAATGAGTTCATCCGCGGAGCCACACTCCGCCTGCTGACAAAGCTACCTTGGAACGGCGAACTTTTTGAACCTCTGTATCCCTGCGTAGCCAAGTGTCTTACGCATCGACATCCATATGTACGACGGAATGCTGCCCTTTGTCTTTACAGTATGGGTAGGAAGTGTCGTGAACTGCAGGTCGACGTAATTAATGCCCTTGGTATGTTGATCTGATGAAGCTACTATGAAGTATGTGAAGTAGGCATTAGCGATGTGCAGCCTTAGTATCGCTGAAGTTTAGTAAATTTATGCTATACACGAGTCCCGCGATTCCTCGTTTTTCTTTTTTTTTTTTTTATATAAATCATATAAAATTTCTAAATTCATCAGTTTATTCGTTTATCTATATGTCTGATCACTTGTTACGAATGTCGTCTATTACTCTCTAAATAAATATCGTTGATTTCCTATTATTTCGACGACAGCTGATCAATAAAGTAATAAAGGCACAGCTCCCATTTAGACAGTCAACTTTCGACCTCAACATGCAGTTGCGTCCACTGCTTCGTCAGAGGCGTTCAGGTAGTCACACAGCGAAATAGTCATCCCGTACTAATATATGTTGTTGTGCTTCTTTTTTGTTGATCTTTAAACGTCATCAATGTCGGCGTACCTAGACGTATTTTTATCAACGGATCAAGATCCTTCTGCAAAAAGAAACGCGTTTCTGGCCTTGTGTGAACTGAGCGAGCCTCGGGCTCTCCGTTACGTCGAAGAGACGGACTGGAGCAGCTTCGATGCTCTTGAACGAAGCGGCAGGAATTTGCTTCAGGGTCCCGCTATACAGCTGATATATCGAACGGGACTAAAGCATCCACAGGAAAGGTAACACTATATATTCATACCTGTTTGTTCATCTCGCTACATCTGTAACTGTTTTCCGCACCTCACTTTGTGTATATAGGTTTGTATACGGTCATTTAACTGTGTCTATGAAAAATGTTTGCAGTTGGAGATTCATTCAGTCGGTGTTTCATCTTCTACAAAGTCCAATTGCGTCGGTGCGCTTTGAAGCATCCCGAGCTTTATTTGCTTTGACATCGGCAAGCACAGCTCTACGCACGTCAGGCCAGGCACTTGTTGATCTAGCCATATCGCAAACTGATAACACCGCCAAAATTGTGCTCCTAGATACGCTCGATCAGCTGCGACGGAAACATCCGCAGCCTCTTGAATTTCTTGTAAGTAGCCCGTTTTCTGATTAAGCATAGTGATTATCCACTATCAAATAGATCTGACTCTGATAATAACAGCTATAGTAATAATAACGTGGCCAAATATAATCAACCAAGCCAATAATAACAGTTAATTAAGGCTTAGATAACAAATTGAAGTAACGTAGTTAGAACGAATCATTCATTTTGCTTAGGTAATGAAATCGTCTTCCGACAGCAGAGCTATTCACATTTGATTTTAGCACTCCGTGGCGCTCAGAAAGAAACCCGACGTTTCTGTTCCTATACAACTAACGAATTCTGTGGGTTTTTGGTTGTTGCTTTTGTTTTACTCATACCTTTATTTGTCTGTATTCATAGGCTGTAGATCTTATCCGTGTAGTGGCAGGCGCTAGTGATATTGAAGTATGCCGCCGTGCACTCGAGCTCGCGGTTTTGTTGACAACGGAACGTAGCGCATCCGACCTAGTAGAATTGCTCAAGCGGGAACTTCGACGACTTCAGACATCACCACATCAGCAGGCAGATAGCGTTCAAGTTAGCGAAGCAGTACTCACTGCTCTACAGAATTGTCTAGCATCGTTTCCACGAACGACTCCAAGCGTTATCACCTGTGTGAGTACATGCATCTGAAATTGACGTTTACATATATATACATATTTATAAGTTAATCCTGAATTATCATCTCGCAAATGCTCGTACCTATTCTGTTGTTTTTCAAGTTGACTGAATTGGTGTCGTCCGAAAGCGAATCTGTTTGTATCAGCGCTGTACGGATACTTCGTGAAACACTGATTCGCTTTCCGGAATATGCACCACGGGCTGTAGGCCTCGTGTTGCAACATTTCCCGCTATTACGCGAGCCAGCGGCGATACGTCACGTAAGCTGGCTTCTTGGAGAATTCTGCGAACGTCCGGAACATGTCAGAGATTTCATCGAGCAAGTCACAAACAGTTTAACCGAGGTAATGGTGATCCATCATCTCTTATACCCGAAATGACTAAATGACTGACAGCAAGGTCAAAGATGCTTTTATTTTTTTCAGCTTCCCAAAGAGGCTGCTGTCGAAATGGAGCAACGTGAATGTAACGGAACGGGCAGTGATTCAGAAAACGGTACTAACAGCAATAAAGCTTCTGGAGCAGCAAAGCTCTGTCGAAGCAGTTCGAGAACTGATCGCGGCGCCTCTGAAAAGAAATCTTTGCCCGTCGTAACGGCCGATGGAACGTACGCAACCCAATCAGCTTTTATAATGGCAAACTCGATTGCCAACGGCACATCATCACCTTGGGGTCACAAGGTACTGCTATCGCATATGATCAAAGGAAATTTCTTTATCGGTACCTGTGTGTGTGGCGCCGTAACGAAAGCCGCGTGTCGATTTGTTACGACTAAGGGAACCTCAGTCGAACAGGACAGTGAGTATTGTTTCGGTACGCGTTTTGTCTAGCAATCTGTTAGATATATTATATATATATATATATATATACGCTTTAAAACATCCCTAAAATATAGAGAACCATTTTTTAAAGTGATGCGTATCTTCAGCTCACGCTCTTGCTAACTTGATCTCAGCTACTCAGAAGGATGGACTGGTCGTTAACAGACACGAAATCGTTGCTCGCGCATTGCGTGTAATCGTTTTTTGTCTGGCTCTGGCGGACTCAAGCATGTTCAAGGGACCTGCTACAACAGACGATCGACTTCGTATGATGCTATGCATTCGATTGTTGTTACTAGCACAGGTAAGCAATTTGTTAAGATACAGTTCCTCTGTATTGTTTCTATGCGCCTAAAGTACAACCAGTGATGGATGCTAGATTTTCGCAGCTGATGTCTAGTTAGCGACACGAAAATTAAGTACGTGAAGTTTCCTATGGAGGGATTCTGTTCGATCTATAAATAGGTATTTTAACATTCGGAGGTGGATACTTGTTTGACAAATGCCAAGGTAAATATAGGCAAATGGAAAGTACATTACGAATAAAGTACATTATGAGAAATAAAGGTTTGTGACATTGTTTGAGTAACTGTATGGCAGGCCGGGGGTGACAACGTGCATAGTGGCCTTGGTGGCGGGCAGTCGACTCGTCAAGCCCTCAACTCTTTTGTGACATCAACTGAACGAAGGCGGGAGCTTTGTCGGCGAAAAAAAACACAAAAATTGGGGGCCCGAGGCCCTATGTATCTTACTGAACAACACAATTCAATAAGATCGTCTAATGGATACGAAGAGGCGGATGCTCCTCTATTATTTGACCAGCTATCTGGAGGCAATCGCCTACATGGAGGACCAAACACTATCGACAAACAAGTAATCATTTGAACTTTGCTTGTTGTTTAACAGAACAAAACGGTTACGAAAAAGCTTAATTTGACAAGCTTGTGTTGCTTTTTGCTCGCAATTAGAATTTACGCTTATCTAAATTTCTACTGCTTTCTCCATAAAGGCAATAAAGCCTAAGATTTAAAGCAGTCATAACATGCCTCGAGAAGTTACGTGCTATATCAGCTTATACAATGACAGAACAGGTGTACGTAAGGGTAGACCATCATATGCACTTACATTATCTACTCTTTTATATTTTCAGGATATCTTTTCCGAATCACTTCAGAAAGCACTGAGTGGAAACATCTCATCGGCTGTAAAAGACGGTGACATTTTGGCGAACTCACTTCTAGCGAAGGTACATAATAGGCCCATGGAACTCTTCGCATCGCTGACTATTGAGCCGTTGTTAGCGACTCCACATGCTTGATGAATGTTTTATCTAAGTCTCAATGAGGTAACGAGCATTGCCCATTCACCAATAGATCTTCGGTATGTTCCGTAACTACCTTTTGGTTAGCAACGTCTGGTCAGCCTTGTAATTAACTTGTGTCCTTGCCCTCACAGGTAACTCAGTTGACAGGACGAAGCGATCCCCTCTACGCCGAGTGTTATGTACACGTGACTGCGCACGCTATTGACCTTGACGTCTTTGTCTTTAACCAGACAGATGACACGCTGCAAAACTGCACTCTTGAACTAACCACCCTAGGGCGTCTAACGGGAAAACGTAAGTATTTAGTATGGACCATAATAATTATACGTATAATATGATGGTTATAGTTAACGGAGGACTCTGACTTACACTGTATAATCTTTGTCAAAATATTGCTTTATATAACCAACATCAATTATGAAAGTATGGTTCGAGTTTTACAACTGTGCACAAAGCATTCATATATATTAAAACGAATGGGTGACAGGGCGGCAAAGGAAGCGGTAAGAATAAAGCATAAATGGCAAGCAAGCGTGAAAGCATTTCGGGTCAGATTAGACTTGTTATGGTTATGATGGGATGTCTAAAGCGAATAACAAACGCGAAACATGAAACGTAGAAATAATACCTATAATTTAACGAAAACTAAGCATGCTAATAAACATGCGTACGGCGGTAGTTCAAAAAAAAAACTAGAAGCAGAAATGTAATGAAAAACTAGCCCAAAAAAGTGACAATGAATTCGGCTGCCCTAAAGAATTATACATAAATTATGTAGTCTATTTGCAAATAGTGGGAACGGTAAATTAAAAACGAAAGTTGATGACGAAATACATGAACATAATTGAAGAGAAATATAAGGAAGATATAACTATAAAAAGTAGAGTGTATGCTATGCAAGATAAAGGCTTAGAACATGCCATAATACATTATACAAATTTAAAAGTACGGAACGGATGTAAAATCGAATAAAACAATAGAAGCGCAGATAGGCAATCAAAAACAAAGTAATCTGATGAAAAAAGAGTAATACTTTACGCAAAATAAGATTAAAAATAAATATTTTTTATACTTTACATAAAGTAAGGGTGTAATTCTGAATTAAGTCACAAATGATAAGCATTCTAGGCAAAATGGTTGCAGTGATAATACTGGTGCGGGTGGTGATACTTCGATACAAATTAATAACGGTAATTCAAATATGAACAGAAGGAAGCCACAAGCGTGTGTTATATATAAATACACCTACCTGCCTCTTATTTATAAATATCTGTAACGGATGGTAACTACAGGCATATGTATGTGTAAATAACGCATATATTGCACTGTCGAAGATTTTGCTTAATTTGATTCCGCTCTTCTACCGGATTTTATGGCATCGTCAACAAACCTCATGCCTTATTTCTCCATAGGCGACATGAAGCTCATAGACAGACCTGGTCCTGTAGTGATTGGACCCCATGACTTCGTCACTCTACGCACAACGATCAAAGTTACCGCTACAGACAACGGGCTCATTTTCGGAAATATATCCTACGATGTTAAGGTAGATTAGGCTCTCTATTATAGTCGCTTATATTTATCTGCATTATTCCATTAATAAACATTCAAGTTATGCACGCCTACAAAAATACAAACATCCCCGCATTGTCTTTGTTCTTCTTCGTATACGTATTCGGTAACAGGGATCGACATCGGATACTCATGTGGTAGTCTTGAATGATATCCGAATCAACATCGTCGACTTTTTGGTTCCTGACGATACCTCCCAGGAAGATTTCCGCAACACGTGGGCAGGTCTTGAATGGGAAAACAAAGTATGCAACGCGAAAATCGCATTTTGAGTCTATTTTTTCTCAAATTTTTCAACGAAATTATCTATTAGAAATTACGATTTATGATAGGAAGAAGTCTCATTATACTACGATGCTGATCTACTATACAATTATAAAGGGTACCAGTAGTGCTTAATAGTAGCAAGTGTCTAATAGGTAAATTTTTTTTACAGGTGATCGTTTCATCCCCGATCCGCGATCTGGATGCGTATCTCGACCTACTTATACGAAAGACAAATATGGCGTGCCTTACCCATGGCGATTCGAGACTCAACAGACAAACTTCGATGTCGAATTTCCTAATGGCTAATTTGTCAGCAAAGTCACTCTTCAATGAAAACGTCTTGGCAAACGTTTGTTTGGAACGCGATCCTATCGAGGGTGAACTAACGGGCCATGTTCGAGTGCGTGCAAGATCTCAAGGGTTAGCATGGTGCCTTGGCGACAAAATCTCTGAGTTGCAGAAGTGCACAAAGAATTAAACTCTACGGAAGTAATGGAAGTGATAGCAATAGCGTTGGTCCTAGGAGTGTAGCCTTTGTAGATGGGTGTTCAAGTAAATAACCAGTCACGCGATATATTACATCAAATAATAAAAAGGTTGCTTTCAGGTTGAAAAGAAAGAGATTCACAAGCGCGCATTGTGAATATGTAACTGCGAGCTTTTTTCTCCATATTTTTCCAGCAGCTTGCTGACTACTCCGTAGAAGTTGACTCAGAAGAACTCGAAAAAGAGATACTAGCACAACGTTAGTGAAAAAAATAAGTCTAGACTTTATAACGTAAACACAAAGTGGCTACGAAGAGTCTGGACATACGATAGCATTTGGCATCTTATATTAATGGGTGAGATTACGTTGACACAACGGCATTTCCCGATACTTGGCAGTAAAGAGCGAATCAATATCCTTAGAAGTAACTGTCAACGAAGCTCAATCAACGGATCAATCTCAGGATGTCTGTTATAAAATTGGATACATATCTGTACAGACACTATCATTGAGTGAATGATACAATGCTTATTATTGTTGTTCCACATCGGATGTACAGACCTTTGCGGAAAGCGCGACGACTATAACATTTCTGTCGCTATGTGAAAGTATTACTTTTGAACGTGTATCTAACCGCTTACTGTTCGCGGCTATTCCATTAGATGGACAACCGCCTATCAACAATTACTTGTCCAAGTTGTAATTCCAAATGCAATTTTTTTGTTGTGGTACACAGTTTTGTATACATTTACGACAATAAAAGTTGTAATGAGAGAACTTTGCATTTCCGAAAATTCTGTTAATGGAAAAAGTGTCCGAACAAGTAAAAAGATTTAGGACTTATTATTTTCATAATACTTTCGTAACAACCTTTCAGTGCAGTTAATGTGTGAAACACTATATATAACCTAGCGTTTTTGTTGAGTCGTGTGGCCAACAGGTTGCACTCAGCACTCCATAATGGATCTGTAGAAGGTGAACGACTGCTGTAACAAGGCAAAAGTGGTTCCATAGTGCACATAAATGGTGGCAAAAATTACAGAGAATTAATATAAATATCAACCAATACATAATGAAACATACAGACAGAGTAGACTAGAGAGATGCTGTCAATGGATTAAGATACAAGATATTTGTATATAGCGCTGAAAATTAATAAATTTTTCTATATTCCTTGATAGGTAGTGTTTTTTTGTTTTGTTAATAACATTAGCTACTGCATGTATGCGAATGATATCATGAAACTATAGACCCTGGTTCGAAAGACATCCCGAAAGAAAATTCAAGGATTTCCACGTGTTACAAACGCATCCCTACCTACTTCTCGAAACAACCTCAATTTTTGGAAGTACACTTCACTGTGCGGGGTAGCTTTATATTTAATGAACAGTACTGGCTCTTAGACAAGTTTCGGCACTTACGAAATAGAAATAAAATTTGAGGTCTGGTTTTTTAAGCACAGTACGAATAGTACAATAACGTTAAAAACGGTTAGTAAATATTTTTCTACGCGCTACTTCAGTAGATGCCTTTTCGAACGAAAAAAACACCTGTTTGGTATTATTATCTGCTAACACAATAGGAGCAAAAGACATTCTCTCTACCAATATCGAATACGCTTTATTTATAGAGTGTTTATATTGTTACACATACTTAATATATACAACATTTTACATGTATACGACGCATGGGTATTTTGTTGCTGAACGATAATTTATACGCGCGGTCAACTAGTCCATACCATATTTTCTTTTTATATTGTCCATTTCTTCTTTTTTCTTATCGACGTCAACCTTTTTGAATGCCTTATTAGGCTGATAATAAAGCACTACCAGGTAACGGTTGCACACGTTGAAGCCAGAAAGATGTTCGCAAGCGTTTTTCGCGTCGAATATGTCTTCGTACACAACAAACGCCGTTCCTCGAGTTTCAGCAGTGTTTCCCCTGCAGCGTTAAAGCACCACGCTCAGATTAGATAAAAAGCAATGAAACCAAATGAAAAAACACAAGCAATGTTTTAACTTGCATCTTCAGCTTCGAACTTCGAGGTTCGTTAGAATATATTTATGCAAAAGGAAGTATGAGAACAGCTTTTTACTATGTTCTTCTTAAGAGTTAATTTCTGATAGCGGGCAAAATTATTTAATTCCTAAACATTTTTTTTTACAGAAGCTTTTAGAATACAGTGCTTCGCTCAATTGACGCTTCCAAAATGATTAAAAAAGAAATTCGCATGTTGAACAGGCCTTCGTATTTCGATCAGGTGTGCTGTTTGCCAACTAGCCACAAAAGTAGTTTTCTATAAACAAACTTTTTTTCAGATACGGTAATTCTAAAAACTTGAACTTACACTCGAATTTGGCGAATACCGCCGTATTTCCCAAAAATATCATACATTTCCTCGGTAGAAATTTTATACGGAAGATTGCGCACATACAGAATGCGATTGACCTCAGGGGCCAATCGAGTCTGGAAAATTAACAAAAGCAGGAGGTTAGCAGAGTGAATACCTTTGAGCTACCACAGTAATGCTTAACACTTGTACCTAATTTATTGTCACATTTGGTGGCCGCACTCGTAACAAAATGGTGACAAAAACAGATCTGATCGTTGCGAAAATTGGGTACACAAATGCTTTGCGAGAAACACAGTACGAAGACAACTAATGCTTTTGGGAGTAATCGTTTCCCTGCTTAAAGTCGCCTTAAGCTGCAAAGATGCATAATAACATATTTATAATAGATTTATGACTTATAAATGAAAACTCACTCCGGGTTTTCTTGCGAGAGCCATAGTGTCGAGTCTACAATTTCGCTATGATTCTTCGTAATAGGTTCTGTTTATGTTGTTATTATTATTATTATTATTGGCTGAGCAGACGACTTACAATGTTCGACATTTGGCATTCATTACTCGAAAAATTTTTGGTTGAATGAATGAATTCTTTCAATCATTTGGCACAAAATACATCTGGTGAGCTTGTTCTTAGTCGCTGAAACTCGCCGGCTGGTTAGTGTAACATCAAAAAACAAATGCGATCACAAACTAATAATCAAATAAGGATATTTCATTATGGTGTAATAACAAAACTACAATAGTACATTTTATTGTGAAACTAAAAAAATAGAATTAGAAAATAAGAAATGTGACCTTAACGCCAACACTGAACATCTCATTTCCGCGGCATAACGAGAATAATTGTATACTAATAAATAGAATGGTACATATAAGATAGCCACAAGGTATAACATGTATGGCTGAAGTCCTATTGGCAACTGGCTCACCTAGCAGACAAAGAAGACATTTTCGTACAAAAAATAGATTAATAACAGGAAATTTAAGCAGAAAAACATTAGCAAATAGTATCTTATCTCCTATGCAGTTTTTTTTTAAAAGTTATTGGACTAAAACATGCCTGCATCATTACTTTAATGATGGATTTGAGCGCGACCCTAAATACGGCTAGAGAGTATGTTAACACCTAGCCAAACAAATCAAAGTTATTCTTACTATTTTTCTTTATTACTGAACACCTTATTTCATGTTAGCCGTACATAAGCGCGTTTTGGCTCACCCATTAACTCTTACTTGGAATTGAGTAAGTCTAGGGAATAGAGCTGCTAGGCGAAACAGTTTATCTTGTTATTGCTCATCATTTTGCACCAGGCAGCACGTCGTCGTCATCTTTTAGGTTTCATATTGAAAAAGTGCCTCATTCCCTCGTAGTGGCTAACGATTACGCGTTCTGTGCCAATATTAGAAGCAGTCCACACCACAGTGGGAGGGAGTAACGCTGAAATAGTAAACAGTTAATATAGCCACGCTTTAATGTTTGTGTCATATTGGATAAAATATTATTAATTAAACAGAGTCAAAATGTTTTTTTTAATGTCTCTATAATGTAAAGCGTCTTTTTCATGCCAACGTCCTGATATACCATAAGGTAGATCCTCCGCACCGGCAGAATTTTTGTAGCGGTTGTTGTTGTAGATTGTTGCAGCGGAAAGTTGCATCCGTCATTGAAAATGAAGCGACATGATGAAAATCCATTAACTGATCCTGTATCTCATAAATGTTGGTTGTAAATGAAGTTGATTTGAAAACAAGTGATATTTATGATCTGTGGTTTTTCGTTCACAATGCTAAATGATCCGACAACAAATGCGACGCTGTATGTTAAGCGCTTCATCAACCTAACAACGTAGGAGAAAATCGATCGCGATGAAACGGTAGCCAATGCTTCAAATGCAACGGAAATGGCAGTTCGAACACTATTTGTTTCCTTCGACAATCAAAGTTGTCTTTTGGGATACCCGTTACAGTTTTTTTTAAGCAGAATTTTCCTCCTATTAAAATAAAGGATTTCTTCCCATTTCATCATACAAATTCGCCACCAAGCTTGTCTTCCATTCAACATTTTGTACCGTAAGCGTTACTCGATATACGCGGTAGTACACTTTAGTATAAAAACTTTTGTTCTCTTATTATGGCAGGTATTCTATTTCTCATCCGATTTTTCCAACCAATGCTATCATCTTCGACCTGGTTGCCTTCCTTGTAGGGGAAATCATCAAGCGTATGATGTAGAATACACGACTTGTCGGCGTATCCGCAGACTTCTCGTTACGTCCACGTTCTCACCTGTGCTCTTTGCAACGCAACGCTACAAAGTTGTTGCAAGTTGAGTAGTAAAGACAGTATACATCTAGGTTCAACTCAGGAGTCTAAACGCTTCGAATTTTACGTTTTACTACGTTCAGGCATTGGTTGAGATAACTGGCCCCATCTAGCAATGAAGCAATGTGTCCAATGGCACGAATCGTCAGGTTCGTTGGACAAGATACTTTATTGGTTTGGCTTTCAATCGAACCTAATCTAGTTGGTTCGAGGTGTTTTCAATTCGAAAACGTCGACGTCAATAACGCCGATTACGCAGCACTGCCTAATTACCTCTCCCTTTTTTCCGTTTCTCTTCATCCCAACATGGACTGTCTGCGCCTATGTCTTCGCCAGCCGCAAGATACTCTTTCCCATCAGCTGATCGGGCCGCCAGCGGCGGCCGCGTTGATCTGCGTTACTTTGCCGCCAGTCGTATTTGGCTTCAACTCTATGCTCGTGGTTGTGGCGCTGCGATCAGTGCGTTGTGGGAGTTGTTTTTTTTTCGCGCCTGGGAGCGGGCTCTCTGCTCTACGTTCAGCAGCCGCCGTGGAAGAATGCTTGATACCTTCTAGAACTAGACAGCCGTAACAGCAGCAGCAGCAGCAGCAGCAAATCAATGAGTGACAAGCTACAGGCACAGTGTGAGGATTTAGCCGTGGGCGAATAATATAACGCCGGTCGTATGTGTTTGTGCGTCACTGTATCTGACTGCCGCCATCGGTGTTGACGACCCTCTCTCTTGTCTCTCTATCCGATGCGCTGATGTTATAGTGTGGCCTCAGTTGTGCGCAAGTGGCTGGAAAACGACCGTGAACAGGGTAGTGGACTGTGACTGTGGCGAAGGACAACGCCACTGCTGTTGAGGGGCGACAAAACATTTTCAAAGCAGTTTCCGACTCAGTCTTGTCAGCCAACCAGGCCAGCGCGGGTTTGCAGCTGCGTCCATTGACTCACTGCGTTGGCCCGTGTATTTGATCGTACACACAAACAGCGACGGTCTGATATCTGTGTGGTGTATCTGGCCGTAGAAGTGACGAAGATCTCTACTGCTTTCGGCTGAGTGGTGAGTTTGTATACGACTGCTGGAATGATTACTACTGCTACGACGACCGATAGAAACAAATCCCATTGCAGTAGACTGGACGACGTCTGACGGGATGTTGCCGTTGTTTCCGTGGTGTCACTGTTGCTGGTGTTAGTATATGATTGCAACGGTAATGTGTGCGTGTGTACGACAGGAAGTCGACGAACAGAAAATCGCATTGGATAAGAGGGCCGTGAAATTTCGAAAGAACAACAGCAATTATTGTTAGAGACTGCGGCAAGGAAACGAAACGGTGTGTGTCTCTGATCGTTTTAGTTGTTTACCAAACGTCATGTATCGTTTGTTTTCCCCCTCTGTTTGCCTCTCTGTGTGTATGCGTACATGTTGTATCGGTAGGGATGTTTTGAATGAGACATAATTGGCCGTAATCGCGTGTCATGATTCGCCATGGTAGCTCCGCGCAGAAGATGAACTCGGCAAGCTCATCGGCACGAGTGGTCGCTCTATCGTAATATGACGCAGCATCGTTCGGTAGCGGCTATATTCAATGGGCTGTTTTACGAAGCGACAGTCTGTGCAAGTTGACACAGTCAAACGAAGATGAAAAACGTACGTTACTGCATTTGTCGATGTTTTTTTGACGAAAAAACGTGACGTCCTTGTTCTTGACAACAGCGCAGTACGGTATGGTGCGGTTTCGAAACGGTATATATTAGCCGGCTGCAGAAGACTAAACGACGGACCGTTGATGATGCTGCTGCTGTTGGTGTTCGTCATCATTATCGTTGGCTTCATGAATTTTTTTTATTGCTGCCCCAGCGAATCGGTTCGTCGTTTGTGAACTCGTCACGTTTAGAGTCTACTAGCCATTGGTGTTCCGATAAGCTGTCGATGTCATACGAATGCGCTGGTCCAGCTGTGTTCGTTACGACTTCGTTGTGAATTACTTCAGGTCAACGGCGCGGCAGCGCCTGGTTCCTCTGTTCTAACGTATGCGGCTATGCGTGGTAACTTACTCTGCAATGACTTATATTCCTGGGATGTGACAGCTTCCTTTATTTAATTTATCAGCAATGATCTATTAGGCCAATTTTTCCTATAATTCATAAAATCTGCTAGCTTAGGATAGATCGTTTTATGTATGTGGCACCTATAGATTTAATCAATCGCTGCCATGGATGTCCATTAGTTGAAGTCGCGGATTCGACCCTGATGCGCACCCTCTACAATGCCGACTTCATTAGATGTTGGCTACTCGATAGATGCAAGCGAAATCGCTATTGAGACAATGACTTCGTTATCCGCCGAGGATATGATGAACTATGGGTTCATAGTCACTAGAAAAGAGACAGCTTGTCTGGAACTGTTTATTTATTTTTATCTCTTCATTGAGCAGAAACTTCCAGCTTTGGTTAGTCTGTTCTCACGATATATAACTTAATATTTGCTGTCGTAGCTGTTAAATGCGTTCGGCAATCGACGGCAATATGGCTCTAGAGGGCCTATTCAGACATTCATGTGTGTACGTTTTCAGCTGTTACTACGAAATAGTACGGTACGTGCACTAGCCGGGCCATAACAGAGTCGCACGGAAAGATAAGTAGAATCTAGGCGTACCGCGTGGCCGATGCCACACTCCGTCGCATTGTTGCTCATGCTTCGGTGCCAGGCACCAAACCCTCGAAACAGCTGAAAGTGTAGACCACTGACTTCGACAGTAACACGGTTGTGCCGCTGACTACAGCTCATGACCTATACTAGTCGGCATTTATCGCCACCAGACGTTGCGATTGGCACGGGAAGTACCAAAAGGTTGCCACTGACGATGCCAGCAATAACTGTAGTGGGGCATTAAGTGGTTGACGAGCGCTGTGTAGCGGGCTGCATTGTCGCCTGGTAATGTTTCCAGCGTTAAAAACTGACTTCGTCGTGGTGAAGGTCGTTGCCCGGTATCCGCAGCAGCGGTTCGGCCAGCGAACTCTGCCCATTGGTGCCTGATTCCAAACAAAGTTAACGTACATTAATGCTGTCTGTGTCGACGACCTGTTGGGCTTGGTGAGTTGGTTTGCTTTTTAACCTGATTACTGTATAAACAGGTGTTTAGCAGTAAGTCGTATGTCTATACGGCAGCCAACTGTGCGCTAATGGATCAGTTGTATCTCAACTACGAAACGCTTTGATGCATAGTGTAAACACGCAGGTAGCAGTAGGTGGATCCGATGGCACTGCTGACTCGACGCGAATCCGAATGAATGACACCATTACGGCGATATATAGATAAACCAACCGGCTGGTAACAGTCAGAAAACAGCGACAGCTCTCAGCGCGACATTGATAAATGGAATCACACTTCCTTCGTTCCTCTTTTTCCTCGGCTCATCCTTGCTACCAATTCATCATGATAGTGAAGACAGAAGACGTAGTGCACATGATGCCATATAAACGTCACTACTATTGTGAACTTTGCATAGCGCTGGTTAGGATACCGGCGATGAGTGCAACTCCCGTTCGTGTTGTTATCGTGATTGACATTTCTCGTAACGAAGTCAGCATATTTTGTAAAAAAAAAAAAAAAAAAAGCAGAAAAAAAGCTGTCTCTTGTCAAACCGAAAGGAACCACGAGGCGCTAGCTGAATGGTAATCGCCGCTGCTGATGCCGCTATCGCCATATATCAAATAGGCCTGTCTACGATCCTTGGGCGACATGTCTGATCAAATAGGGGTGCTGAAAACAAAGATCATATCAATTGAAGGCACCATAGCTGCATATTGGGGAGCATTTACCGTTGTGTTAACGGTATGTTCATAAATCACATCTATTCAAGCTAATTCTTCACTTCCTGCTGTTCAATACGAATCGTAAACAACAGTGCCAACAGCAGTATAACAGTGGATGTGACATCACAGAAGACACATCATTCTGACTAGCGACCGACTCGCTGTCAAGTGACAAGATGCACAAAGACAGATGGGCATCAAAAAGTCATTAGTAGGCAGCGAGGGCTAGCTTCTGCTTGTCTGCTGCTTAGAGCAGTACTTTATGATTGGTTTTACCCTTGGCTTGCCATCTGGTAAGCGATGGTATCGTTTTTCTCTAGTCCGGTTAAAGATAAGATATCAAGTCCAATACACTGATGGAAAGCTACGTATCCAAACTACAGTCCCCACTTTAAATCCCCGCCAGTGTTATGTCTTCGTGGTACAATTATGGCTGCTAGAGCAATTTCTTATAAACCAATGGCGGAGGTGCATGTCCCAGTGTCGTTACGTGCTTTGAATCCGCCGCGTGTCGAGCAGCGTGATGGTAATAAAACCAACTAAAACCAGCGACAAGCTACGACAATAGCTCAATAATATTCGCTACTGTAGCCTTTTCTCATATTTTAGAACGCAGATACTGTGTGTTATAGATCATTCTAGTTAGAGTCAATATGGTTAGTGCGCATTAGGCTAACGACCCGCGAAACTTTTGAGCGTTGAATCACGGCTAAGACTGGCTGGGTAGTATTGAGGTTTTCATGAGTATTTGTGTCTTTGTATGTATGTTTGTGCATAGCTTGTAAACATAGTCGATCAATCAGACGGTACTGATTTCACTAATGTGCAATATAATAAGCTGCTAAGCCCTTGATGTCTACACAATGAGCTGGCTGCACGAACAGCGACTTCGTTAGTAAATAGAAGGAACCTACTGCCAAGTAGTCCAATATTGTCTATTTTACCCAGTTAAACAAATATAGTTGGAAGCCTAGAATCCGTTGCCAAAATGGCAATCATGGGTATTGTCAACAAATGAAGTATCAGCACTGCCTTTATTGGCGTTAGCATGCAGATTGCTACCATAGACTGTTATTAATTTCTAATAGTCGTACCATTATTATCAAACTGTTCTATCGTTCAATGTTTTTGTTACTAATATCATTACGAGACCGAACATCGCTTTAAATGATCCCGTTAATGTAGGTCCCTATCCTAAACGGAGAAAAGTATTTCTTGGAAATTTATTGGCATAGTAATCGAACAAACTACGCGTGAAGTCCTTCACAGTTTCTGATACGTACGGGGTTGGATTGGGCCCGTGGAATAGATGTGATTCCTTGAAGTCGTTCATACTTTATCGCTGTCCGAACAAAATCTACAAACGAAGACACTAACATTAACAACAGCAGTAGCTCCTTTGAGCCATCTTTATCTGCTCCTTCTTCACAGCAGAACTTCGTGTGAAGGCCCCACTATTGGTCTGGTCGGCTACGCCAGTGACTCGAAGGTCACTGTAACACGGGGACCGCAAGCCGTCAAATCTACTCACTAACATCACCCCTCTAAGCTAATCCGCGTATTCTCTATGACGACGCCACTCCTGCCACCGTGTTACGAATCAGTCTGTTGCGGCCAACTCGGTCGGCTGTGGCCGTCGCTCAGCTGTAGCCCCCCGCTTTTACCATCAGTAGCATCGAATAAAAGCAGTGTTGTATTGTACTCACGACATCGGCGTGTCTGTCGTATTATGTCGCAGGCAAGAAGTATAGCCACTTCAAGCTATATTAGGCCATATGTGGCAAAACACAGCAAATCAAGGCACTACAGCGGCAGGACACAGCCTGCTGCTAGGCCAAGTTGACTCATAATGGTATATGTAACCCAAAATATGCAGCTGATCTATGCCTGTCGACTGCGTTGTAGACGGTCGAAGAGAATCTATCGCGGTGAAAGCTGCCGTTTGCGACGACGAAAAGGAAACGTTTTAGTCAGTTGATCTTCTATAGTTGATGTAAAGTAGTTGTTTCATTGCCTGCCTGTTTTGCGTTTGAAAGAGCCAGCTATAGACTGTAAAAGCAGACGCGCTTTCTCGAATGACACGCTCGAGCAGGGTCTTAAAATGGTGGTAATTAAGACGGCTGGTGTAAAGGTGTGGTGTGATGAACGAATGCAGCAAAAGATAATGGCTGAAACAGTTGATTCCATCTTGAAAAGTGATTAGTCGTCGAAAAAAAACTTGAGAAGTTAGTTAAACCGCAAACTATGCAAACAGATAAACCGACCGTCAGATTATCAAGCAGGTCGAAAAAACAGGCCCCAATAGAAAGATTGGGGAGCGACCCCTACACTTACTTAACTGAGCATAATTGCGTTGTGCTCCATCTGCGTACGTTTCCTCAATACGCACCTAATATTTGCGGTAGTGAAATGTTCTGATAATGTATTTATTACAACTATATAACGATGAACAATTTAAGATAGGTCAATCCTCCTTTTGCGGGCTTGGCCTGACAGAATGACGATGGAGGCTAT